GGCTGCTGAGCTTGTCCAGGTCACTGAGTCAGACTCTCCAGGGAAGATCCACCAGGCAGAGACCAGCCCGAGCCAGGCAGCCCCCGAAACAGCCGCTCCCTCCCTGGCAGAGCCCCCGTGCCCGCACCCAGGTAGGGTCCTCCCCACGCTTGACGGGAGATTGTCCCACAGCTGCCTCGTCCCTTCCCCCCTGTCACCCTCCCTGTTGCTGGGGGGGCGGGCAGCTGAGCGCAGGCTGGGTTGGGCCCCTGGGGGCGTCTCCCACGGGGGCACCTGCGTTAAACTGTCATCTCGCCCCTTGTTGGTTTCTCTGAGGTGTGCGTCATGCGGGGAAGACGGTGTTCGCTCTGCTATTCGCTCTGCGGGCTGGAGAAAGGGTGGACAGCTGTCCATCTTTCTCTCGTGCTTTCCGAACGTCTCAGAATGAGGCTTGGGGGTTTTCTTCCCTTTGTGTGTGTGGCTGCTTCATTTCTTCTCTGATGATTGCACTTCACTGCTACTGGCCCCCAGGGGGTCTCCCCGTTCTCCCTCTAGTCCACGCCGGGCCCACGTGGAGCCGCCTCCAACACGGGGAAGGGGTCGGTGTGCCCGCCCCGGCCAGGCCTTGTCCACATCGTTCTGTCTGAGAATTAGAATCTGTAGATCGCCCGCCAGCTGGCGTTCCCGCTGCGTCCCCATCGCGTGTGGCCGTGGCTGTCTCGGGCCGGAGGAGTGTTTATAAACCAGCCCTCCTGCTCCTCCAGACGGTCTCGCTGACCGTGGGGCGAGGGAGCGAGTCAATAATGCCGTGTTCTGTTTCTGTTTTTGTCGTGTGTGTGCCTGTGTGACGCGTGTGTGCGCCTGTGTGATGCGTGTTGCGCGCGTGTGGTGTGCAGCCCAGGCCGCCTCCGCTAACGCCCTGTGGAAGACAAACTCTGTGGGTGTGGACGGTGTCAGCCGGCAGCGGTCCTCGTCCGATCCGCCCGCTGTCCACCCGCCGCTGCCCCCTCTCCGCGTGACGTCGACCAGTACGTTCTCCTTTCTCCTTCCTGCCGGGGCTTGGCGGTCCACTGGCCGGGTGGGGAGGGCGCGGCGGGACGGTGGCTCTTCATGTCCCCTAGCCCCGCAGCCTCCTCCTCCCCAGCTGTAAGCCCCCCATGTGTCAGCCCCCACCCCAGGGCTCACCCACCGGCTCCTCTGCCCACTCCCCCCTCAGCATCTCGGCCGCATCCCCCTCCCCCACATTGGCCTAGGGCAGTGGTCGGCAAACTGCGGCTTGCTCGCAAGCCGCAGTTTGCCGACCACTGGCCCAGGGCTTCATTCCTTTGGCCGTTTGGCGGGTCTCAGTATTGGGCACCATCATTTGGGTTCTGGTGTGTTTCTCCTCCGTGTCAGCACGCGGGTGACCGTCCCAGAACCGGGGGAGGGGCCGGGAGAGGGTTTACTCCAGCAGCGAAGCAGGAGGTCTCCTGGGTCAGGGTGGCCGGCCCGGGCTCGGCTCTGGCCGTGGGAGGGGGGCTCGGCCCCTGGTTTGCTCTCGGGGTCTTGGGAGCCTCCCGGGTCTCCCTGGGAAGGGCCTCGGTTATGATGGACGCCCGCCAGCCACAGGCAGGGCCTAGGGGTGTGGCTGCCGGCCGAGCAGGGCAGCCTGGGAGGGTCTCCCAGAACCTGGGGGGGCAGGGAAGGCGTGTCCAGCTCAGACATACTTGACTCACATGCCAGGGGTTGCCGGCAGGTCTGGGGGTACCGGGTGCTTCCAGGAGCCTATGGTCTGCCTGGGTCTGGGTCCCTGAGGCTCTGGGCTGACGCTAGAGTCTGCCTTTGACTTCCCTTTGAAGCAAAGGAACCAGGAAGGAACAGTAAGTACAGTAGAGGCAGCCTCTCAGCCGACTCCTCCTGCGTCACTGGGCCTCATTCTCCGCGGTCCTGGGAGGGGGGTGCTGGCTCCTCAGGCAGCGGCCTCCCAGGCAGGGGTCCCGGGTGAGAGTGCAGGACCCTCAGGGGGGGGGGCCAGGGGCT